GCCCATAGTCTTTGGCCCTCCAGAGTGGAGCCCAAGAGCCAAGAGCTTGAAAGAGTAGAAGTGCTCAATATGCAAAAAATAACGAGGAAACCCGCTCACGAGCATTTGCGATGGTGAAACCGGTGCACATTTCTGGACACCTTTAGCCGACCACGCTGATGCTGTGCCCGAGGCATTATACTGCGAGTGGGAGGCGAGTAACCGTATGCCAAATATTGAATCTGAGACTGTTGAGAAGGCGGACGCCCGATAGTCTTATCCAATAGCCCAGTTTTGTAGCCCATCCAAACTCCATTCCATAAACCCTATTAGTTTTTTATGTTTTCCATAGTCCCTACGCATTATCGGGATCATATTTGAGCAATTCCTTATGGGTTACTCAGAGATGGATCCCGGCTGATGCTTCATGTTAAACACTTAAATCTCAGGGGTCTCTACGTGTTGAACCTGAGGAACACAAGACCGTGAATTCTAATGAAATACAAATAATAGATCAACATCTCGGAAAAAATATTCAAAATGAGCTTATAGAATAATGGCAAGTCACGCAAAGACTAAAAATGTTAACAAAATAATTAATTTATCTTCTTTGTGCTTGTTAACTTTTCTGAATTTCCAATATACAATTTTAAAACTCTAAATTTATTTATTTATAACTTTTGCACTTCTCGTCAAGCATCGTCATTAAAAATATTTTCAATTCACATAAATCCCATAAAGGACAAGGGCCTCGCAAAGATCTACTGCCCGGGGCCTCGCAATGGCTAAGGCCGCCCCTGACTATAATTAGTGTATCATATGTACTATTTCAACTATTGTATATGTACTTTTATTTTAACAGTAGGTATAGTTTTAATTATTCATTAGGTTAAAGCATACGTGATCTTTAATGAATTTTGAAAATTACCTATAAGTTATAACGTAAGATGTGGGAGCTGATTCCTGTAGCAATCTTTTGTTTGGACCGATAGTATCATTTTTTCAATATAATATCATGATTAGGAGACTATATAAGTACCTAGTCTTTTAAAGAAGAAATGTAGCGATCTGAGATATAGTATTTGCTATTTCCTTTTTTCAGGCGTTATTTTTAACTAGTTGTTTATCCACCACTTTTACACAATAATTTATTCACCAACTACTTATATTAATTCTACTATCATATACATACAGCTTTATCCTATCGTCTATCATAGATATACAGTCAGCTTACGCAAGAGTCACTCGCCGCTCGCCTGTACAACTTACAAGTAAAGTGACTTACCTATTATTATACATCTATACATATAATAAGATTCTAACTAAGCCGAATCTGTACATTAAATATTTTTTGGAAAATCTTATTGAAATAGACATTATTATCGATACAGTGGCCTAATCTATAGTTTTTAGAATTTTTGTCTGTCTGTCTGGCTGTTACCGCATCACGGAAAAACTACTGAAGGAATTTTAATGAAATTTGGTGTGGTGATAGCTGGTCATCCGGGTCAACATATACGAGTAGGATACTTTTTACCGCGGGAAAATATCTCATTTCCGAGAAAAAAAATACAAAAACTGCAATGTAAGAGTTTATTAATATGTAAAAGTTTTAAACCTAAATTTTAAGACTTTAGTTTTTGGTCAATTCATATATAAAGTCTTATTTCGGGACTAGAGGAGATTTTTTTGTGCTAAAACTATTGCATCGATTTATTTATAAAACAGCAGGATTACCACTTACTCATCATCTACCTATACCATAATAAAACTGAAGACGTTGAATGTCTGTACGTAAAAAAAAGTTAAATACCGAGTCAGGGGGATGTAACAAGAGAAATAGAATAAATCCAGATTTTTTTTCAATTTTTTTGTTTCTCTGTCTGTTTGTCTGTTTGTACGAGCTAATCTCCGAAACTATTAGAACGACTTAATTTAAATTTTGGATGGTGGTACCTTATATCCCCAGTCAATATATTAGATACTTTTCCCAGAAAATTAAAGAGTTCCCGTGGGATAGTTAAAAAACTATAGTAACTTATACAGCTTAGTATACAAAGAGTATTGATTGGATTTTAAGGAAACTTTACAGTAATAATAATAAAAAGGCTCCTTTCAATCCCGGAAAAATGTACGGTTCCCGTGGGATAGATTTGTTTTTGTTTCTTCGTAATGTGTATGTGTGTGTACACAATATAGGCCCCAAAACAATAGTTATTAAAAAAAATGACTGTTTGTTTGTTTGCCTGTATGTCTGTCTGTTTGTCTGTACGCGCTAATCTCCGAAACTATGTAACCGATTTAAATTAAATTTTGCACGGTGGTACCTTATATCCCGGGTCAAAGTGTAATGTACTTTTCATCGAAAAACCCACTGGAGGGACCAGTGGTTTTTCTGTGATGCGGTAACAGACAGAGACAAACAAAAATTCTAAAAACTATAGTTTTGGGCTCTGTATCGATAATATGATATGTGTAGATGTGTATATATGTCTATTTCGATAAGATTTTCCAAAAAATATTTAATATACAGATTCGCCTTAGTTACAATTTTATTATTTGTATAGATATAAATAATAAAGAGTTCAAAAGTCATCAATTTATATCAATTTCTTTACATACGACATTTTTTAAATATTTTCCCCTTTCCCGGGGATATTCAATAATATTCATAATATTCACCCATATACAACATCAATTTATTGATTGCAAAAATAAATTTCATAGTAAGTTCATGAGAAAAATAATAATTTTGCAGCCAAATTTTTGTTGAAAGTTGAAACTTGAAAGTTGTGGCAGTAAAACTGACTCGTGATGGGCGGTGGCGTGCCGCCGTCATGAGGGTTCCATTTGGTCTTTCCATTACGAAACCCTAAAAACAACTTTTTAATTAGTTGCTAAGTATGTTTTCATCATAATAATATCATTTTATCATCATAATATTTCATTTAGATAGGTTGATTATTAGATTGAATACCTAATAATCTATTTAATTTTCGCAAAAGAAAAATCACGGTTAAAATGCTAGTCATAGTTTATACGCATGATATAAGGCTTTAAGACTCAGTGACAATAATCATATTATATTAAGCGTTAATTCAAATTTCAAACATTTTAAATAATAGTGTTAATAAATGATGGTACCAACTAAATAATGTAATAATGGTAAAATGAATACAACAGATGCAAGATATACCTAGATAGCATTTTCACTCTACTGGGTGCCACGTTCTTGGCCACACGGCGTGATACATAATATTATAGTGTAACTATAATATAGGTACCTACTTGTTTCACTTTATCTTGCCACTCACGTGTTTCAAACCGTGAATCGTAGTTATGTGCATATTAACACGATTTTATCGATAAAAGTAGTACGCATCATTCTCTATTTATTTTATTATCTATTTCAAAATCGTCATAGTAAATTTTTAATCACTATCTATTGCTTGAGAATTTCTCTATCTCTAGTATATTTTTAATAACTTCGCAACCACCTAATCTCTCTTCCGAATTTTTGTAGGAGAATCCAGAACGGCGGCAGACTGAAATAAAATATAGCTATATTTCTAATTAACAATAAATGTACTACAAAAATAGTCTCATTGTAATACTTCCAATTTGATTAAATTACAAAACAATAAAGACTCGAATATGCTAAATTTGAAGTAGAAACTTAAACATAAAAACAAGACGATACATGATGTACTTGGTATAGATATAGATAGGTATATGTTTACACTTTACGTCTATGTATGTGGTAAAGACCGTAGACTTTGATTTTATTATATCCAAAATATCCTTCAAACACACTTGCTTACACGTTGGTGACGTAACAATATTTTATTGTATATGCCTAAATTACTGGCAACAATCGTATAAAGTTATCTTAAGAAGAAATTATTGAATTAATCTTTAGAAGAATATTATTTTAAAACTTTTAGAATTTTTAGAAGATAGCACACTTGGGAATTAAGAGTAACGTGATTGCCGCCTCACTGTTTCAATGTTGGTTAAAGTTAATATGCTTGTACATTAAAATGCTTTAAAAGAAAAATAACTAATCCTGTTTAGTTTTTTCGTACATTTCTTTCAAAATTTGTGTCCCATGCTGGCGGAGTTTTGACAATGAGCATACTTTCGACCATATTTTTTTAATTTGTTAGTAATATCCTAATTATAATTTATAAATCCCAACTTTATTCTATTACTAGCATTGCCCGCGGCTCCGCCCGCGTTCAGATAACCAAAAACCAAATTCTTAGGTTTCACATATTAGTATGCTCTTACATTGCAGTTTTTGTGTATTTTATCAGAAATGAGATATTTTACCGATGTAAAAAGTAACCAGCTATTACCATACCAAATTTCATCAAAATCCCTCTAGTGGTTTTTCCGTGATGCGGTAACAGACAGACAGATAAACAAAAAATCTAAAAACTATAAAATTCGGCCTTTGTATCGATAATAATGTCTATTTCAATAAGATTTTCTAAAAAATATTTAATGTACAGAATCGGCTTAGTCAGAATTTTATTATATGTATAGATATTATCAATAATTATATTAACTATCCAACTTACATAAAATTATTAAATTATTATTAGATTAAATCCTGACCGTTTCGTTACATTTGTGGTGAACTCATTTTATCTAAAAAGAAATATCCCTTAACAGAATCACTCAAAGAAGCATATTTTTGTTATTTTATAATATCGGTCTCTCATCAAGACAAAAAATAGCTAGCTCTTCACGTATTTGTGAAAGATGTAGAAGAACACTAAGCTCCTGGCCTGCAGGTGGAAACAGATCTTTGAATTTTAATATGCCAATGATATGGATGGACCAATCCAACCACGAAAATGATTATTGTTTCTTTCTTACTAACATATTTGGTTTTAATCACAACAACAAAGATCCTTTTTAATATATATGCAAATGTTCCTTTGGTTATTTATCCTATACATAGTTCAGATAAGTAGCAAGTTCCCGAACCTCCAGGTTTTTCCAACAAAACATCTATGACTAACACGGAATCCGAAGAAATTCAAACTCAAAGTTCAGGTGCAATGTTTCATGTTGATGAAGAACTGCCTAATCTTTCTGAGATGAAACTAAAAGAAGGTGTTTTTATCGGACCGCGAATCAAAAAAAATACTGAGGAATGATGTATTTAAAAACAGCTTTTCAGACACTAAAAGTCCTGCTTGGAACTCAATAAGAATTTTTAGGTAACAAAATAATGAAAATTACAGACAGTTATTTGCCAATTTATTAAATAATTTTGAACAGATGGGTGTCAACATGTCTCTGAAAGTTCACTTCCTTCACTCGCACCTCGATTTCTTCCCTGAAAGCCTTGGACACATCAGTGACGAACATGGAGAGCGTTTTTACCAGGATTTTAATTTTTTTGAGCAAAATTTAAATTATCAAGGATACTGGGACCATACTATGTTAAGTGACTATTGCTGGTCTATTATAAGAGATATAGATACAAATAAATACAAGAAAAAAGCTAAGGCAATACAATTTTATTTTTTTCAAATATATTTGTATGTAGTTTTTTTGTAAATTAAAATAAATAAACACTTTGGAAACGTGACGTGTTGGATTCTCTAATAATTATTTTTTTAACTCAGTGCACCTTAATTGTTAAGAAAAAACACTTTTCATTTCAAGGACAAAACCATGGAAACTAGTGTTATTAGTGTTTGTCCCAATAATTTTTAAAATTTAGAACTGTTCTAAGTTCAACTACGTTACTATCGACACTATCGATGAATTGCTGCTACATCTTCAGCATCACTACACCTAATGTCACAAAGTAAAGTGCCTACAGCCTATCGTCATTCGTCGTCGGACGTCGCGAAATACAAGTTGAAATCACATCGTGAGAAATTTTTGTATCGTAAACAAAATTATTAGCTGAAGCTCTGCAATTTGCTATAATTAAAAGCAGAATTCTTAAATACACACTGGTAAATAACTGTCGTGATAAGATAAACGTATTAATATTAACCAGGACTTATTTTTTTTAAAACATTTATAAAATGGGCTATTAAAATTATATAACAGGTATGTAAACAAAGTTTCTATTTCGTGTCTATAATGTATATGAATTAAAAATTTGTAACTAATTTTGAGTATGGCTTGCTAAATTTTATTTATTTTGTTTTATTTTTATTTAAATATTGAAGTAAATGTAAAAAAAATAAAAAAGAGAATACTAATAATACATATAAAGAGAAATAATCATAATTAATAATAAATATAATATAACGAATAATAAATATAAAATAGTATAATTTGTGATGTGATAAATGTTTTATATTACTACTGCTTTTTATATTACTACTACTAATACCGATAAATACTTCATTTTTAAATCGATTTAAATTTTATTGTCATGGATTTAGTAGTATTTTAGTCTAAAATTGGTGGTAGAAAGGGTTTAAACATTAAATTTTAAAGTTGTTGCTCCAAAGGTGAATAAAATTTTTGTTTGGCAATAAATCCACCTTTGCTAACTAATTTTATTGTATGTTAAAATCTGTATTTTACATAAATGCAATAAAGAATAGTATATAAATTACTTATCAAAGCAATGCAAATGTTGTATAATATATTATTTAAGATTTGCAAATATTTATATGAAGCTAAATTTGTATGCTACTGCGAAGTTTTATTGATATAGTTAAATGCGCTGGTTTAAATAAATCTAATTGATTTTAAGAAGCAATAAACTGACATTTTACTCATGAGCGATTTTAGTATAGGTATATGCAACACAATTACCTAGTAAAAAAAATTTTTTTTGGCAAAACTGATCTTTCTGTCTGATCAAAATACAACAAATATGTATATAAAAAATAAATGGTCAAAGGAATTCAATCTTCTTGTTACTCTTTTTCTTGTTTTACAATAAGAATTAAAAATACTTAGATATGTTCTAAGTAAGGGGTTTTAAAAGTTAGAAAAATCCATCGGAAGACGTACAAAAAGCTTACATTTATTTTTGCTGTTGCTGCCTTATTGGTGTGTTAAATTTTAATAGAATTATAATTAGTGTTTTTGTCGATTTTATACTAAATTTGATTGTTTTTCAGTATTACTACCTTTTATAATGGATACTCTTGATGACTCTGAGAAAAATGCCAAAGTATCAGATTCGGCTTACTCAAATAGTTGTAGCAACAGTCAGTCCAGAAGAAGGTAAGTTTAAAAAGAATACTAAATTTAAAATATTTTGTGCTATTGGTATAGAATAATTCATAATTATTTATCAATCAAAAATGGACTGATCTGAATTAAAAAGTAGGGAAATTATACACATAACAGGGAATCTGAACATTTTTTTATTTTTTATAAAATGGCTAACATCGTTTTATAATTTGAAAAATATATCCAGCTCCAAAAAACTAAAATTTAGTAAGTATATTTTTTTAAATATAGGTACCGATATGGATACTTTAAATTCCCACCATTTCGCGCGCTTGGCGTGACGTCACAGTATGATATACATAGAAAAATGTTGACTCAAATTGTAGTGAGAAAATTGCTAATCGCTCTGTTGTGATAACACTTTGACATCATATTTGGTCTGATCATTGGCGTGCGTGTCAACTACTTTGAATTTCCCAGCTATATTTGCACTTTAAAATAATTATTTTCTGAATCTAAAAAAAAAACATTAAAAAAATATTGTTAAAGGTTTCATTCAGCAATAAAGATTGCAAAGAAAAAGAACCCAACACAATTCATTGAGGCCATTTCAATGAGCCTTAACACAATATCTCTACAGTGTTTTTGTAAAGAGTTGAGTATCTTGTAAATTCCTAGTGACGCTGCAATATCAGACCTAGTTTACAATATCATTAAAGTAGCAGTAGAATATCAAGTTTCGAATCAATTAGATTTGTGGAGTAGGAGGGAGGAGGAGGAGGAACAGTAAAAAGGGGTGATAGCTTACAAACTGCTGCATGGAATGTCATGATTTATAACTAAGAACGCTCTTTACACTTTCTCACTTTAAATAAAAAACTTAATTAAAATTGGTTCATCATCCGTTTGGCCCCTACGGCACGGTGTAACATTACCGTGGCTACGGTGCCACAGACAGGATATACAGATACACACGATAAACTATAACTCCTTGTTTCGCGTCGGGGTTTAATAAATGTAATTGTCACAAAACTCAGTACTGTCTACAAAAAATGTGTTTGCAATATGAAACTTTAAAATGCAGACATTACAAATATTCCAGTTATCTTTTACATTTTCTCTATTATTTTATATTTATACTACTATCATGGAATACATCGAGTCAAATTCAAGTACGTATATTTTTATTATTATTTTATGAAAGACTTTAAATTATTTTTTTGTTTCAGTCATAGCTCCAAGTCTACGCATTCCGGAAGTCATTCTAGCGGAAGCAGCGGTTATGGTGGTATACCCTCAACGTCTGGCTCCAGGTTTGTAGAACTATGATAAGTTTATTATAATAAAACCTAAAATTAAATAATTTCGATACAATGTTTCACTTTTCTTAAAAGTTAAATGATCATTACACATCACTTCTTGTATAGGAAGTCAGCCATACGTAAGTGTGACGGTGCAAAACGAGTGCTAACGCAGCTGTTACTGTTAAATGTTAATAGAAAAATCGTTCAGTGCTTTTACAAAAATTTATTATGTCTCTCATAGTCCTTATATGGCTATATGTATGTGTACTTCTTAGAATAAAAAATAACTAAATCTATATTTACACCTACTTGGAAAAAAAATTATTGAAAGTTGGCGGGTGACTATGTCAGCTTCTATAGAATACGTTCAAAACAGTTTCAATGGGGACCCCTAAAATAGTTAAATATCTCTTAAAAGTCCAACTTTACAAAATTAATAGGCGACACTGTATAGAATCTTTTTTAGAATTGCGTAATCGCCCTGACCATATCTATACTAATATTATAAATAGGCAGAGTTTGTTTGTTTGTTTGATCGCGCTAATCTCAGGAACTACTAATCCGATTTGACAAATTCTTTTTTCTTTAGATAACCCGTTTGTTGAGGAAGGCTTATAGGCTATATACACACATTCCATACTAATAGTTAAAACGTACCTAGGGACGAACCCGAGCCCGAGCGAAGCGAGTTTGAGTCACTAGTGTAATATATTTAGATTTCATATGCTAGGAATGGGTGTGTTTCTGAAATAATTTGGCCAGCAGTTAACATTACAATGAATGAAACAATTTAGATTTCAATCACAATCTGTTACTGAAAGTCTTAAATACGGGATGCCAAACAAATAGTAAAGGAAACGTGATTATTTTGACAAATATATATAGGACAAGTGATAGTCCTTAGGTACGTTTTAAATACATAGATGAAGATAGTTATTGTGAGTATTTCTTAGGAGATAGATACATGCTCTTGTGGAATTATTTTTGGGCCTCTTCTAAACAATATATAATGTAGACATAGTTAAGTGACTTGCGCTCGAAGTAAATTTTGCATTTGCCTATAAAATTGAGAGATTTTACCTCTAAACTATGAAATATGTTCATTTTTAAGTCTGCTGCTAATAGTTTTTATGTAATAACACATTGAACATATTGTATGAAGGAAAACTTGACCGAACCAGTCATTGTGTTTTCCATGAGAATGAGAGATTTTCCTGTAGTAAAAGGTATCCCAAATATTATTGTTTTTAAAAAAATATTTCATGTACAGATTTCGTTTTGTCACTATTTTATTATGTATTAGGATAAAAATGCTACTTTTCTAACAAGAAATTTACCTATAGAGAAGATGAGTCAAGCAATTTTTATATACTAATTAGTATATGTACTGTGCATCTTGAATGTTTACATTCCAATTTTATTATAGCAACAACATAAACCAGGATCCAGAAGAAAGGATTAAAGATAAAGAAATTAAGAAGAAGAAGAAAGTGAAAACAGAAGTGGCGTCGAGTGAAGTGAAAAAAGAAACTCAATGGCCACCTGCGCCTGTTTTTGAAACACCTAAAGAAAATAACAATGATGGTGGGTTTTATTGGTTTTTATTTTCACTAATATCCGTTGCAAACTAATGTATCTTATAAATATTTGTTCATTTTTTTATGTTAACTGTAATGTATGGTAATATAGACTTTTCGTTCCAAAGATGAATAGTATTTGTACAAATAGGTTGTTTCATCATTAATAAAATACGTACATAAATGGCTGTATTAATCATTGTAGTCCATCAAAAGAACTATGTAATTTATTATTATTTATAAATTAAATGAAATTTTTAAGAGTTACATTCTCAAAGCGGGTTCTGTTCATACGAAAGTATTCAAGGGGGCAGAAATAAACTCATTGTTATTATTACAGAAGTCCAAGGATCTGCTTTATCAGTTATTACTGAAAAAGCAGATCCTTGGACTTTATGGGGTAGGGCTAAATTCCACTTTATGGGGTTTATGACAGAGTTCCAAATCTATGTTAAATGGTAAGGTAATATAAACGAATATTAAACATGAGGCATTAAAATTTAATTTGGTAGGTATGTAAAAAGATAATTTGGTTTCGATGGTGTCAGTGTATTTTTTTTCTGATATTTAGAAATATTCTAGGTGTTTACACGTTCATGTTCATCTTCCGTCTGTTATTTTGTTCTACAGTTGATCTCACACCGCCTGCTTCGTCAATGCAAGTGGAAAAAGGACCAGAAGATATGGACATCTCCACTTCAGACAAGAGTAGCGGAAAGGACGAGGTAATCATCTCATTGTTAATCATATAATTAATGATAAAATGTTGCTTAATTACTGGGTAGATAATAATTATATTTTAATTTTTGTAAAGAATCTAATCACATCAACTATTCTTTATAAATACATCATTACTATGAAGGACGAAAAAAAATATATTGCACAATATACAGCCAATAATGTGAGCGATCTTTTCCAGGAATCTTTCGCGTAAAGGCTTATTTACTTAATAAACAATTACTACTATGAACAATTTCGAATCTGGATATTAGAAATCTTTGTTTATAGTATATTTTTTTGTTGTAGCCAAGTTCCTGTAATATTCTGATCCCCACGCCAGTAAACGTGATCAACACACGTCATTTAGCACAAAGTGAGGTGAGTCCCGTAAACCTATAAGTTAATGCGAAAATTTTAAATCCGATGTAGTTTGGCTGAAGGGTAGATCTTAGTGTGATTTGGTTCAATGCCTTCAGATGGACCACAGCATCACCTATCAAAGAGAATTTACAATTTGTTTTTTTGGCACTGATTACACGTCGCGTATTTTGTTAATTGTGGGTAGGCTGTCTGTAACAACTATATAATACCTTAGACACATCTAACACCTCAGTCTCTCCCGTGACCATGATTGCTGTAAAGCATTCGAAACGTCGGGAATCAAAAATCAAAATAAATTCGCGAAAAAATCCGAAAAGATAGTTTTATTAAAAATAAAGCAAGTTTTTAGAAGAGTGAGACATGTTGACCTTACAATGTAAAAACAGTAACTTGCGTGTAGCATAAAGATATAAGTGATAAGCCGAATATAACATAATCTGTATGTAAAAAAAAAATAGTAATCAGATAAAATAACTTTACCAACCACCAACTAATATTGTGTTTTGTTCTCTCTCTTGAACTTTTCTACATGCATATGTACAAAGTATTCATAAGTTATAGTCTATGACCACAAGAGACGATGCCTCTTTCTATTGGCGAAAACTGTTTATTATCCGCACCTACAATAGATTCTGACATTAGAATGAACAAACACACAGTGATGTGTATGTACTACTTGAACACTCGTTTATTACTGCCTCGTATGGTGCGCGCGGGCTCCATATAAATCGCAAACTTTTAAGACTTAAAAAATATAAATAAAAAAAATCGCCTCCAATTTCGAATAATTACTTAATAAGTGATTTTGAAGACTGTTGGACCTTGTTTTAGTAAAGAACAATATTCAAGTATGGTATACAATACCATATGTAGAGCTAAAATATATATTTTTTTAATATTTTTATTTTGTGATATGACTAGTATTATTATTGTCTTAGGACGGATTCACGTGTGTAATATCAATGCAAGACGGTGTGGTGATGTACACAGCCTCTTCAATCACGACTGCCCTAGGCTTTCCTAAGGACATGTGGATTGGAAGATCCTTTATAGATTTTGTTCATCCTAAGGTAAGTGAAAGCATTTTAATTGTACATATTCTTGATTCATATTTTTATTAGGATTAATAATGTATTCCATGAATATATAATTAACTAATCTAGATTCTCTTGTATTTAAGATACAATGTTAGTTCTGGTTAAATTTTGAAATTGAATTTTAAAGATGTTATCCCTATTCTTGATTGAGCTGAAATTTTCCATACAAGTTTAGTTTGGATGACAATGCATGGTTAGTTAAGTGACGTTATTCTAAATGTAATATGGCGTACTAAGTTTTTTTTGGAAACCCCATGATATGGATATCAAATAAAAGGGTTTGCTGACAAGAATACGAATAAAATTAAAAAAAAAAATGATAGTAAAAAAACATGTTTCACTATTAATAAGCTTTTATTTAAATGCTATGAAAAAAAACCAATAAATTTATGATTTCATCAAATATTAATATTTTATTGTCTTCTTTTTAGAGCAATCTTGGTTTTAAAAATGTTTTTTACTCTTAATTCATTTTTGGCTCTCTGAAACCCTTTTGTTTGCTCTTTTTCATGAAGTTATTCTCGAACATAATACTTAGTCCGAAGTTTTTTCTATGTTCAATTGTTTGGTAAAATAAGCGGCTGTCAATATTGTTGACGCTCAGAACTTTTTGCGAGCTTACCACTCTATCGCTTTGGTACAAATTGAAGGCACCTTAGTTTCTCCCGAGACCATGATTGCTGTAAAGCATTCGAAACGTCGGGAACCAAAAATCTAAACAAATCCGCGAAATATTTCGAAAAGATTTAAAGAAATAGTTTTATTTAAATCTAACGACTCACTCTCGCTTCGCTCAAGTTCGTTCTTAGGTACGTTTTGATGCTTAGCATGGAATAGTTTTTTTTTTCGTGAATTTTCTGAAGTTTTAATAATTTCTAAATTCTGCTATACGGGGCGAAGACATATATATTCAACAAAACAAAGATCTTAAAAATCAGTCCAGCAGTTCTCGAGTTACAAGTGTTGTAGTAAACCCGACTTTGTTTTATATATTATATATATAAAACAAAGTCGGGATGTCAAATATTGGCGTTAATCCCTCCAGGACCGGGGGACACGCCGGCGTGGCAGTTAACAATAGATTTCTTAGAAATTTAATTATTTTCTTAGAAATTTACCTGGAGGTGTTAATCTAAGAAACTATAGTATTATGTAGTATTGAAAATAAGCTACACGAAGAATAGCCTGAAGATAATATAAATTGTTCACTTACAAGACTTAACCAGATTTCTCTGTCGTAGCGTCTTTATTTACCAGTGAAAACATTTCAGGATCGCACCACTTTCGCATCACAGATAACAAGCGGATTGGCAGTACCGAAAAACGTAAATGGTACGCAAACGAAAGGTATTTTTAATACAAATCCATCGTGCCAATTCACTATTTTTTTGCTTGACTGTCGTTGCATGTACTTTTTGACACAATTTTTTGTAACTTAAATTCTCACCCCATCAAAATGCAGGTTCATTGTTCAGTATAATTTATAATCACTTTGCATCTAAAAAAATTTACAGGAACTTCTGATATTTATATTGGTGATCGATGAGCCTCGTCATGTTCTATGTAGTGTATGTCAGGTAAAGTTTTACATATTTCTTATTAGTTGTTCTACGTGAAAGATGTTTAAAAAAATATGTTTTCATAATTATTGAAGTTTTATTAAATTTATGTCAATAATATTATCTATTGCAATGTCTAAAAAATGAGGTCTTCTGGTAGATAGTGGTTTATGGTTGTTTTGTGTCTCCGTGTTATTGCTATATTATAATATATCTAAAGAAGAGTGTAAGAACACAATACTTGTTTATATGAAATGGTGTATGTAATATTGCGATTATAGCACCATTTGGCAAAATGAATTGCGAAAAAAATACATACAGATAAACATAAAACCTCCTTTTTGGAAGTCGGTTCATAGTAATATGAAATTTTTAACCGACTTGACAGTTGACGTTACAATTTCTTGACAAAAGTTAATTTGCTTTATCTATATGTCTATTCATATTAAAACTGCAAAAATATTTGTCTGCCTCCTAATGTTCATAGGTAAGTAACCGAATATAGTAGCATCAAACCGATTAATTATATAATTAGGAAATTTATAGGGGCTTTAAAAACTCTTACGAGTATCTATGACTTTAAATTCCAATAATTTGCAGAACTCTCTTTTATAAGAGTGCAATCGTACTTAATAATATTATTAAAAATATAATATAACCTTTTTATATATCACATATAGAGATTAAAACTTTGAAATACATAGATATTTTTTTTTATAAAATCTATGGTTATAGGCAATTATCGCTTGTGAATGCGCAAGGCAAACTGCCAATCTTTCACAGTATTTCTTTGCCGTACTTTGCTTTTTAAGACAATCTAAGTGGTTTGTCGTAAAATAGTGTTGTATGCTATTAGTATGATTTAAAAAAGACAGTATTTTTCTAAAAGTTTTGATTTTGTTTTGATGTTGCGTACTTGTGTAATTGGTACATGGATATCTTTTTTATTTTTTCCATTAATGAAAAATAGAAATTAATCTTTTTTCCTACAATACATTTTTGTATAGATTTTTGAATTTAGACTTCATTTGGCGCGTTAGAGAAAAAATGATTAGAGTAAATTTTTTACGATGTGACAGATTATTATGAAGTTAGTCGTTAAATCTCCCTTTAGTATAGTGTGAAGTGATGTCTAGATTCAAGATATTTATTTCGGGTTTTTCTATCATCACAACACCTGTTTTATATTGATAAAAATACAAAATAAACAATTTTTTATTTAGTTTCGCCTGTCCTAGTGTCTGTCTGTAATCAAATCTTGTAAGTTAAATTTGATCCACTTCCCAGGGTCCAATTGAGTTGAGATTTGGTGCACACGTTTGGTTCTCGTGACAATGCACGATTACCTAAATCCCTAATATTACACAATTACACGTACGTAGACGTTGCAAAATGGATTTATCATTTCCATGAGACATTTATAATATGGGCATCAAATAAAAGGGCTTGAAGAGCGAAACACAAATAGCAAAGTGACGTCATTGAAAATTAATGTGGCGGCAGCCGCAAGATGGAGATTTATAATTTCCACATTAACCCCTATGTTATGGGTATCGAGTGCAAGGACTTGATAAGCGAAATACGATGAGTTAAGTGACGTCGTTGTTAATCCAATATATAGGACGTCGCAAAATGGCGATTTGTCATTACAAATTTTCCCTGTGTCCGTCTATTGTCTATAATCAAATCTTGCGAAATAAATTTGACTAAAGGTCATCCTCAGTCCAATATGGAGGCCTCCCAAAGATGGCGGACTATGTTTTTTTATACACCTTGATGGATATCAAATAAAAGGGTTTGGTGAGAAAAATACGAAAAAAATAAAAAATGTCATTTTTAAAAACAAACTTTTATTTAAATGCAAAATTAATAAAGTAATAATTTATAAATAATGTAAAAAAATAATATACATCTCGGTTAAACTTATTAAAAAAAAATCGGTCAGAGCAACGGACATCCGGTAGGAACAAGGTTCCTTTCGGACCTCATTGAAGAAAAGCCTGCACAGAGTGCACACGAATTTCTTACAACGTACACTCCTCAACACTTATAACTGCCTGGTACTTTTGTCACGAGTACTAGTGAATCGGACTGCTCATTATATATTTACGGTCCTGTTAAAGAGTGCTACTACGTTATGCTCATCTCCTACTTGTGATGACGTCACATGGGATGTAAATAATAAGCATAACCTTTTTTGTTACGTGCCGATTTCTACCTGTCAACTCCTTTTTTTTAACGTTGGGAATTGCATTTAGGCACGAAGTGTAGGACTCGCCGGCAAAGCCAGTACTATCCACTAAAACCCAACGGAACCGTCCCCGTCTTATTGGGGCGTCGCAGGATTGCTTACGCATTCAACCACGGTACCCTAACGGCAGGTCTGCCGAAGCACACCACAATAGCTATGGGGTTGCTCCACAGTCCACTCCCCTATCAGAGAAGTAGCAGAAGCAACACCCATAGCACACCGCCCACCGAGGTGGGCCACCTTTTAGTGCGTTTCTTGGCTTCGGGCCAGGCTGTTTTGCCGGGTACTATTGAGCTCTCTCACCACGACAAGGTGAACGCACGTTGGGGGGTACCCGTCAACTCCTACCGCAAGCCGCGTTAAGGAACTTCGTTCCAAAAATTATTTTGAGGAAATGAAGGAGTCAAAAGTTATTAAGATTTAATGTTACAAAATTTGCGTATTTTTTCCATACTACCTAAATAAGGCATTACTAATGATAAAGATATTTTTATAGAATAGTAAACATAATTTTTCGTGTACAATTCATATTTTTGTAAAAATTAAACTTTTCTCGTTTCGATTTTTCAATAATTTCACTTGAAACAATATTGTAAGTAAAATAATCTTACATTTTGACAAAACTGACAATTTCTTCTTTAAATATTGTTTTCTTGATATAATAAATTATCACTTTATACTTGGACTGCACTTAATAGTTGCAGCCGCTGGTATTTTTAAAAATAGCAAGTGTAATATAACGTTCTACAACGTTTTTAACTACTTTTTCACAAAACAACCAAAGGAACAATCTTTTTGTCGGATGTAACAGATAAAACAATGTAAGAAACTGAACAACTGAACGTCAATCTGTCAATCCTGTATATATTTTTAAATGAACATTTTTTAACCCAAATGTTTCACTTTTCCATAAAAAATTTCAAACGGTTTCTTTTATACAATTCTTGTCCTGATAATTACGAACACAACGAAAGAAAATTAGCCAAATAGGAGCAGCCGTCCTGAAGGGATACGCTTACATAGATTCGGCAATTGATTTTTATTCATATAGAAAATATATGATGTTAAATATTAGCGAAAGTCTAACATATTACGTCATATATTTAAAAGAGGAATTATAATGAAAATTAGTGTACCTAAATATTTTAATCAACTTGCCACTTAAGAAACTAATCTAACCCAACAGAAATTTAGACATTAGGTTTTTACGTGGATGCGTGCTAAATTGCTAGTTAGCACTAGGCATCTTGCTTCAGCTATTTAGAGAATACGCAAGTACGTGTTTTAAACCGATTGTATGACCAGTTCTTTACATTCATGTGTGTATTGCCCGTTGACTTTATAAATAATGAATGTCATTATTTATGAGTAAATCGTTAATATTGTGACGTGATATAATCACGTGACAGTACCGAATTACGGGTAAATTAGATTGTGAAGGTTAGTACAAATTAATTTCTCATGAAATTTAATATTAGAACGATATAGCTTATTTATACGTCTAGAAATGGTTATTATTATTATTTTTAGAATAATGTTGCATTTTATAACGTGTACCCTTTTTATATTCAACAGCGCCTGCTTTAGGTAACCACGTTTGCTCGATGGTATGTCGCATTAGACGATATAGAGGTGTTACTTCAGGATATCGCGTAAAAGATAGAGCGGTTGCCTTTATGCCTTTCACGCTCAAATTTTATTTTAAGAATATTAATGATAAAGAGGGGCACGAAATCATCTACTTGGTGATACAGGCTACCCCGTTCTTTTCTGCCTTTAAAAGTAAGTATCCACATTTTAAACTTTTATTGTAGGTACATCTATATAACATTTATACTGTAGGTATCATAAACGTGACTCGTTGCAGAACTTTATGTACTCTTTAGTTATTTCAATATTCTTATAGCCGTTTTAACCTTTCACGAACAAAGTTTTTACAAGCTAACGTAAAAAATGGCAGCGTTTTAGTTACGTATATTACTGACGTTATATATTTATTTGAAGTAGATAACTTATATAAATATAATGATTTTAATAATTACTTATATAAACATAAAAATGTAATGGTATATATGTAAATTTGCTTTATGCTATTTGGGCACAAGTTTAGTATATGGGACGCGGCCCCTGGCGGAGTGGGTGATATTTTTGGATAGGGTAGGTGACAGGGAGCCCAAATATATAAAAATTATTTTAAGGAAACGTAGAAGTAAAAAGTTATTGAGCCTTAAAGTCACAACATATCTAATACATTTCTTTACCTAACTATGTGATTACAAAAGATAAACATACCCTTAACCAATAGTAAACATCTTTTTTTATGTACAATACATATTTCCACAACAATTAAGGCTTTATTGTATTTAATTTTTTAATAATTTCACAACAGTACCTATTGTAAACAAACCGATCTTACATTTTGACAAGTATCAATTTCTGTTTTACATTACCGCTTAAATGACAACAGATTATATTAATACAATTTATAAACGTGAGTAAACTATTTTTAAAATCTAAGTATTATTTACTCTTGGTTTTTATTTTGCGACATCGTGGTTAGTTTGAGACATACGTTATTTATTTATTATTCGTCATATCTTGGTTAGGTTATGTTAGAACAGTTACCACAACGCACGAGCCGAGCGAGCCAAGCGAGCGTGCCGCGGTAGCGGCCGGCGAGTGCCATTATTATATGACTAGTAAACTAGAAAATTCAAATTTCACGCAAAGTAAAATTAAAAACACGACAAAACATAATCTGGAGATCATTTTGACAATTGAAAGTGACATTTTGATATTTACAAGTGTTTAAATGGCAGTAATGTCTAAATAATGTATGGAAATGTTGTAACTTTAAGTCTCAATAACGTTTGACTCTTTTGTTTCCTCACAATAATTTTATTTTAATATATTTGGACTCTCTATCACCTCCCCTATCCAAAAATACCACCCACTCCTCCAGGGGCCGCGTCCCATATACTAAACTGCAGCCCATTCCTCTATCCTAAGGTGGATAGAGGAATCAGTCTACTACTAGAACTACTGTGCATCTGTGTATTTATGTATATTTCACCGCTTTATGTATTTCTTGTGTGGTGTGCAATAAAGTGTTCATTATTATTACGTTAGCGGTTAGACGATGCAGTGAGGGCGTGGGCGTGCTAGCTAATAATAGAATCCAATGAGCAACCTTAATTTCTTTTTTATAAAATCTTTTATATTTTACTCCAAAGGATACAATGTATCTTTTTAAATTACATCTCAATTCGCTCAATACTTTACGCATACTTAGAAAAGTTTTATATGTCATTCCCCTTATATAAGGAAACATTTAATTTTTCTGTAGTCTAATATAAATGTATGTATGTTTATACTCGTGAACGTTTTGAAAATATCAAAATATGAATTCAGTTCAATTCTCTTGCTCATGGTTTCGAAGTGTGCCACTTGAGCGCGGATTACCTCGCCAATGTCAGGTACATCGAAACATAAAAGTGTCTAACATAAGTGATAGTTAAATTGATAATTAGTACTTTTATATATTCTCTTACCAGAGATGCTCACTGCTTACTGAACAATGGTCAATGTACATGCATATATTGCTATTTGGTGCACACCTATTATAACATACACGCCTTCTATGATATCGCTATATACTCGCATAACTTCTTTTTAATATACACTGTATGATCTTTCTTAAATTCTTTATATTTTTTTCTAAATTTGCCAATGTTTTTAAAGTCCGACAGTTATTAAGTTTTCTTGGCAACGTGGCCCATTTAGAACTTTCGCGACGGCAAGGGCAGTCACAATGGTTTAGAACTTTCGCGTCGAAAAGGGCAGTCACATGTTTATAAACTTTTCGACTTAACTTTTCTGTATCACGTGAAAACTTTGAATCACGTTCACAGTTAGAACATTGTAGAAATAGTCCATTGAAGTTACATTTGGGGTTGCATTTGGTAGAGGACGCAATTTTATTTTTTAGATGTCAAGGAGGGGTTAGTGTAAAGTTAAATCAAAGTTTGTGGGGTTGCAACCCTTGTCCAACGACCGCCATCTTGGGAAAAGGGGTAAAAATGGTTTTTATGTTTTATCTGACAAACTATAGGCCTCACAAAAAAAATATTAAACCATTTTTCTAAACATAAAATATCATAATAATATAAAATTCTCTACAACTTTAGTCAAGTAACTTTTATTTTTTAGATATCAAGGAGTTAGTCCTTGATATCTAAAAAATAAAATTGCGTCCTCTGACAAATGCATGCTAACGCCAAAAAAATGTAACATTTCAATGGACTAAAATATTAATTGTAAAAAGAAGTTACTATTCCACTGTTTTAATACATATTATATAAAATAATGTAGGAAGCCTGAAAAGTGAAGTATATAATAAGACTTACAGACACGTGGAGGGTGTCACGTTTGCACACTGCCGTTTTAAACGTCGACACGATGCTGCCCACTCATTTTGCTTGATAAGTTGTTGTTATAGATAGAGATATTAACCGATAGGAATCTGTAGGTCACGTTTTCATGTTTAAGCTTATTGTTTTGACGTGGTTATATGTAATAATCACTAGTTCGCCTACTTTAAGCAAAATAATGTTATTTATATCATCATATGACGACATTTAGCATAAAAATTGTTGAATAATGTTTAATTAATGAATTTTTTTTTTCATATCTTGTGTTTAGGGTTTGGTTGATTTTGATTAAGCTATAAGATCACTTTACTTTCTAGCCCCAAATGAAGTAATACCACAAGCAGAGCCATTTGTTATAAGACATTCAGCAAGCGGTATTTTGGAGCATATAGATTCTGAATCGGTTCCATACCTTGGATACTTACCCCAAGATATTGTTGATAAGGACGCTTTGCAGTTATATCATCCTTCAGACCTACTTTATTTATGCCAAGTGTATGAAACTATTGTTAAGGAAGGCGTAGTACCGAGATCAAAACCTTATAGGTTGGTATTTTATTTAATATATATATATGATGTTCTCCTAGCCGACTCCGGCTACGGCGGCCAATCTCATTGAGATTAGCCAACTGCGTAGGAGATATTATAGTGCTCAAGTGTACGGGCAGACACAAGTGCACTCTCTATTCCTATCACCCTAATACTCTGGTGGGACAACCACTCGACACGACCGGTGAGAGTTAAGGCGCAGGACCGACGGCTTTACGTGCTCTCCGAGGCACGGGGGTGAAACACCGCCAACTTCCCAACTCCGGGCGGTTCCTGAGGCTTACTATACAAAAAGACTCAATAACTAAACTTGGCCCGACCCGGGACTCGGACCCAGGACCTCCGGGTGTGCAGCCGTACATGCTAGCCACTACACCACTGAGGCAGTTATATATATAGGGTTCCGTACCTCAAAAGGTAAAAAAGTAACCCTTATAATATAAGATCACTCTCTTGTCCATCTGTCCGTCTTTGTGTTCGTGTGTCGCCACCGATTTGAAAATTTGGCAAAAAGCAGGGTCTTACAGCACAAATAAAAGAAAAAGAATCCGAAACATAAAAAAGTTGAAAATTAAAGTTAAACAGATTTCCTACAAATACGGAACCCTCGGTGGGCGAGTCTGACTCGCACTTGTCCGTAATTTTTATTAATTTTTCAGTCATATATTAATTTTACCGTACATGCACAATGAGTACAGTTTTTTGTTAACAATGAAAATATACCTAACTTACCCATAAAATATAATGAGCTGCATGAAAACTTCGCGCACTACCAATCTCTCGATAAAGTTCTAAATTGAATTTTGTTACAAAAGAGATATTATATGTACATTCAAAATTATTATAAATTCTTCTATAATTACATAATTATAGATTATGAATTCAAAGATATAATAGATTTTATACATAAGAATTTAAAATCTTAGGATTTTCGTTGTTTTTCTTTTTCGTTAGATCTTCACTTTCCTAAGATATACGAAATCGTAAAAATATCTAATTAATGCTTTCCACACGCATATTGTATACTGACGATAAACATTTTTAATTTTTTAAATTATTATAAAGCCGATTTTACATTTACATGCCCAATCTTGACTATGATTATTACATAGGTGTAGGTACTAGACTTGTCTTGCTACTAGCTCATTTCTCGTGCGCTTAAGCACGTATACTCAGATGTAATAAAATGCTTTTATTGAATATAGGTAGTAAGTACTTATTGTTTAGGGTCTTTCTTCTAATAAATATTTCAGTTCAAATACAATTAAGTCAGGTAAAAAATGCATAGTCATAATTTTTTAACTGAATACCATATATTATGCACATTAATATCACTTTGTTAACATTAAAATATAACTATATATTCTTATAAAATTTATAGGATGTTGGCTCAGAATGGAAATTACCTTAAATTAGAAACAGAATGGTCATCATTTGTTAATCCGTGGTCAAAGAAACTGGTATTTGTCATTGCCAAACATTATATCATCGAGGTAAACTATATATTATTATGTTTAAAATAATATGTTTTTGCTAATAAGGTTTATAAATTATTCATTTTATTTCTTTTTAAAGATTTTTAATATTTTTTAAATAATTTTAGGGTCCCGCGAATCCCGATGTGTTCCAGTCACCGGAATCTGAAATCGATTTAAATATGACAGAAGAAGAGAAAAGTAAAGCTGAAGAATTAAGACAAAATATAATTAAAGTTATGAATGAGGTGAGATCATATTTTATATTTAGTAAGATTTTTTTTTCGAAATCTTTTGTTATTTTTGTACCTAGTGCCACGTGTTGACATTATATTATGTATGTAATCTCATAACATTATAACTGGTAAAATTATAGGTTGTCTGGACTGGGGCTTTATCAATATGGGGAGATATTTTTTTAATTTGTGCCATTTTTTCTTTGAGTGGATTTCGAAACATTAGCAAGTTTTATGTACAAAGATAATTATTTATAAATAAATATTAATTAAACAGGGCATACAAAATAGATCCATTCTTTAAAATAAAAAACATAACATAAAAATTGTACATGAACTCATAGTACAAATCTCCTTAAAGTAGGATGAGCTTGTCTCAAATTATTACGTATGAAATTTCATTTTATCAATTTGTATTCTGAACTCACATGTCATGCACAATTCAGATTAAACATCCTTACTTTTCATAAATTAGTAAAAACTCGCATTCGTAATTACCGTTTATTTATTACTCAGTCAATTATATGCATCAGGAGCTTGTGAAATTTGTTGCCAAATACATGCTTTCAACATATTACACAACGAAAATGCACTTAAATAAGGTTGACTACGGAGAAAATTATCAAGATATATAAATAATAATAATTGTAATAAATATTAAGAGTTTATCAACAACTAGCGACTCACCCTCGCTTCGCTCGGGTTCGTCCCTGGCTTGGTTCCCTATACAAACTTTCATCCTAATTTTCACCCCCTTAAGGGATGATTTACAGGATAAAAAGTATCCTATGTCCTTCCCAGGATCTCAAACTATCTTCTTACCAAATTTCATCTAAATCGGTTCAGTAGATCTAGAGATTACCCCCTACAACGTCACAAACTCAAAAACTTTATAATATTAGTATAGATGAATTGGTAACATTTTAATTACCAGAAATTTATGCCATATGAATGCATTCAAATTTTCATTTGTTAACAGGCTTTAACTAAGCCTGCGGAAGCTGCCAAGCAACAGATGAGTAAACGGTGTCAGGAACTTGCTTCTTTTATGGAGACTCTGATGCAGGAGGCCCCGAAAGAAGATGAATTTCGCCTTGATATACAAGAAGCGGATCACAGTTGTTTTGTAAGAAATTATTATATTTTTTTAACTGATACGCTTACGCTTTTACTCAAAAAATAGCCTTGATTTGTAAGTTATCTGTAGGTACTTAATTTTTTTTCGTAACGTCTTCTAAAAAATAACTTTTGGTCATATAAAAAAAACTAACTACATATTAACGACCAATCGCTTTGATGTCTTCTCCATTCTACGTGACAATAGCGAAGTAATCTGTGCTCAACTGGCACGCTTTGAAGCCATTAACCAGAAAATCTAATCTATAGGTATATATATAAAAGTTACAAACTTTAACTCTAGAACTGCTAGACTGATTTTTATGATCTTTGTTTTGCTAGATATCAAAAAGAAGTCAAAAAGTACCTAGGACGACGACTAATTTTAGGAGAAATAATTGCCATCCAATATTTCTAGTTATTTATTTTTTGTCAAACATTATTTGAATGAATTATACATATATTTATTTCCAAGTTTTATCGGATAGCATACATAAATGATATGTTCATATTATAACGTTCATTCTTTTTGTATATTTACAGGAACGTGATTCTGTAATGCTCGGAGGTATCTCTCCGCACCACGACTGCAACGAAAGCAAGTCTAGTACAGAAACACCGATAAGCTACAATCAGCTAAATTACAATGACAATTTACAAAGGTATATTTATTTGTTTTATCAATTTCATCCATTTATTTAACATGTACCTTAAATTCCTGTAAGAACACGTTAGTTTGAATATTAGATTTTAGGTTTGGAATAAATTAAATGATTACTATAGTAATATTATTCTTGGCAGGTATTTTGATAGTCACGAGCCTTTCGAAGAATATAACATACCTATAATTGATATAAAACTACAAATACAAAATCCTGAACCACTGTTTAGGTAAGTACCTAATATTATATACTGTAAGAATAAGGATTTGGTTATATAGGCATTTGAATTTACTGAATATCATTAATATAAATTGAATATTCTCTAAGTTCTAAAGACTCTTGAAACTTTTTTTTTGTTTCTTTGAATGTTACAATGTTATGTTATGTTACAATGTTAATATTATAAAAGATTATGTCAGAACCTTTTAAAAACCCAAATAAAATATACATAGTCTTGCCCTAAATATCGTTACAAAGAAAAAAAAACATTTTTTCTATTGCACGTAACATTTACTATTACAGTATGTTAGTTTAATACATAATACAAAACCATTAAAAATATATAAAGCTTATTCGAAGTGGTCTCCATTGGCTGCAATACAGTCCTTTAAACGTTGAGGCCAGTTATCAATAGAAGCACTCACTCTTTCCATGGGAAAATTCTTCACTGCCAATCGTATGGATTGTTTTAGAGACTCCAAATTATCATGGCATTTAGAGCAAGCCATTTTCTCTAAAACTGCCCATAAATCATAATCCAGCGGATTAATATCGAGACTAGATAACGGCCAGTCTTCAGCTCTGATGAAGCCCGGAACGTGGGTTTCTAACCAAGATTGCGTGGATCGAGCTTTATGACCCGGCGCCGAGTCTTGCTGAAAGGACCATTCTTGGTTATTGAACATGTGTTGTTAAGGGGCTTCACTACCTACTCAAGAATGGTATCTTGATGCACTTGTGCCGATGTTTTCATACCTTTTTTCATAAAAATATGTCTCAGACACTTCTTCATAGCTAACACCCCCCAAAACCATCACCGAAGTCAGATAATGCCCACGTTGTATTCTGTTGACTAATTGAAAAGCTTTATTAGAGCTTTGAGCATAAATACGGTCATTTTGTTCGTTAAAATATTGCTCAATTTTAAACATTTTCTCATCCGTAAACAATTTTTTTCTATGACTTCCCTTTGCGTACCGCTTAAGTAGTTGTTTTGATTTTACCATCCTGTTCGTTTTTAAATTATCAGTTAAGGAATAACCAGTGCGTCTCTTATAGGCTGCAAGTTCTAAGTCATCTTTTACAATACGCGATATGGTTCTAGGTGCTATCTTCATCTCCCGAGATAAAATCATTTCCTTTCGGACAGCATTTCTACGATTTTTTCCCTTACTGCTTTGATCGCCTTTTTCGTACGAACACTACGTGGACGGCCAGATCTTTTTCTGTCACAAACAGAGGAGGTTTCATTGTACCTATCAATAACCTGGTACACAAACATTTGACTAATACCAAGCGTATGGAGTGTTTTAAAAATTGTATTTGGCTCCATACCTATTTTATGTAATGCAATCACAGCGATTCGGTTCTCTTTATCACCCCACTCCATTTTAATATTACATAATATTTTACAATGTTTCGTACGAACACTACGTGGACGGCCAGATCTTTTTCTGTCACAAACAGAGGAGGTTTCATTGTACCTATCAATAACCTGGTACACAAACATTTGACTAATACCAAGCGTATGGAGAGTTTTAAAAATTGTATTTGGCTCCATACCTATTTTATGTAATGCAATCACAGCGATTCGGTTCTCTTTATCACCCCACTCCATTTTAATATTACATAATATTTTACAATGTTGAGATGACTAAATAATTGTACACAAATAAAGTGAATGCAAATATATGATAATCATTTAGACATTAAAGTAGGTATTTTTTGGTGCTGCACGTCCATATAGCCTGAGTCATTTATGATCTTTTGAGCGTCTTGCATATGTCATGTCATGATGACATTTGGCAAGCCGAATTAGGTTCCTTCTAGTAAAAGTGATTCTTCTGTAATTAAATACGTACTTATTTATATACCAGAATATCCCGCTTCTGATATCGATGAATCAACATTCTCAACATCATCATGAGTGGTTACGAATCTCTTGCGCTTTAAAGTTGTATGTGTGTGTTGTTGTTGTTGCGAAAAGAATTCAATGCTCAATAAAATTTAGTTATATATCCTCCAACGATCCACCACGATCGAACAACATTACTAAGCCACGTAACTTCGAAGAATGTCAAGATAGCTACAGTCTATCTTGCCACTATCTAACCACAACGTCATCTCGGCTCTTAAATTGATTTTGATTTGACGTAATATAACATAATGGTTTTAACCTAAAATAAGGTTTTACATTCATCAGTTTAAAGATTACTTTTTTCTACAAAATGTAATTCATATTTCAGCAATTATCTGCCTGCCCGCCAGCCCATTAGCTGTTGTTCAGGGGACAATGTTGAAGGCACAAATGCGTCAGACTCTAAGGTCGTGGTTCTAGCTAGTTCCAGCCAGAACTCAAATGAAGACGAGCATCAACAAGTGCGATTGACCGAGTCTCTATTGACCAAGTTAGAATTTTTAACTAATCCTAGATTTTACATTTATATTAGTATGTTTTTGTGTGTCTTCTTTATATGTTCTCAATTTCTCATATATCACATTATGTTTGTATTTGACATTTTTGTAATTTTTCTAGACTACTTTCTAAATTAGCTCCTAAAGTAAGTATTTATTGTATCGTCTAACTCTAAACGTTTGTGTAAAATTTAAACTTAGAAATAACTTTCTAGTATATAAAGTAGGTTCCACATATACAAGAAAAATGGCACTGACGGACAGATCCGCAAATTATTTCTATAAAAAGTCATCTATAAAGCATATTCGAGGAAATTATACTTCATAAGTGTTATAAATACTCCTTATATTATATACATTCTTTGTAATTTAAAAAAATATTCTCATGTATGACATTCATTCATATCTATATCTTTTATGCTGATAAAGATGTCGTATGCTTTTGTCTATTGAAGTTATTTTATTGGGGACGAAGAAATAAATAAAAATGAACCCTGAAAAATAAACCAATTACTTCGCAACCAAGTATCACAGCAACAACAAATAACAGAAATTTTGAAATTTTTAGTTGAAACACAAATTATCACATCCACACTATTGAATAGAAACACTGATGGAAATGAATAAAATAGCCATCATTAATTTTAGAGGAGACAAATTTGAACCGTCAAGTAACTTGTCAATTGAAAATTTTATCAATTATTTCAAAGCAAAATGTAGAGTAGGAGTGAATGTTACTTAGTTATACAGAAAGATCTTTTATTATCATGTTTAACACCAGAAACACACCACGAAATTAAAACAGCACTAATACCCTCATTCGAAAATTCTTCCTACTTTGATATTAAAAATAAACTACTAGATATATATAAAACACGAAAAACAAGATACAAGGCTTTGACAAAATCTTGGTCTTATATCAGAGATACTTGTGAAAGCATGGAACATTATGCCAATAGGTTGAAAGAACTCAGCAAAGATTGCAGTTATGATGACACTATATTAAAACGACAGTTACGAGATCGCTTCGCTACAGGACTAAATAATCAATAATTGCAAATTGAATAAAACAAAAGTGGCCTGATCTTTAGATACTCAGAACGGAATAAAAGCAGAAGTAACATTTTTACAATTACTTGCTATTGCTCAGTCTAGGGAACTAGCTGTAACAGATATTAATACACACATTAACAGAATATCTAGCAGAACTGGGAACAGCAAAGAAGAAAAAATACAGAAACCAACACGCAAATTACGTCTAGACCAATTATGAATATATAGAATGTGAGTTAAGGATCATTTTGATCATTTTCAGGTAGCGAATAAAGTGAGAAAGAGAGTAATACTTACAAAATACATTACAAAAAAACAAGCAGATGTAAAAAAAAATGATGTAAAAATTAAATGGTATTAAGTGTACAATGGATTGGCATCTAGGTTCCGTATATTCTTACAACCAGAGATGGAATGCTTAGGACATTCTTGTTAGCCCTTGTTAACGTCCCACTGCTGGGGCGGGCCTGCCTTCAATCGCGTATTGACTTATATATATATATATATATATATATATATATAGTATATATACTTAGGACATATAATACTATATATATATATATATATATATATATATATATATATATATAGTATTATACTTAGGACATATAATTGACAAATCTGGTGTGCGGCCAATAAAATCAAAAATTGAAGCTATCCTTAATGCACCACCACCCACTAATATAAAAGACTTAATATCTTTCCTAGGTTTAGTTAATGTTTACGAGAGATTTATACCAAATTTACATAGCGTTTGTGCCGATCTCCATAAATTAACTGGAAGTAAAACCAAATGGCTATGAAATCTTATGAAAATGAAATCTTTGATGAAGGTAAACACAGTATAAGAACGTCACAATCATTAATAGCTTTCGATGAGAAACGCCATTTATTTTTAGCATGCGATGCTTCGGAGAAGAGCATAAGTGCCTATTATTTCATAAAGCAAAAAAACTTGAACAACCTATAGCATATACACCGAGAAAACTTAAATCAGCAGAATTGAGATATTCAGTAATAGATCGTGAAGTACTTGCCATAAATTTTATTGCATAAAAAAATTGACTGATATTTAAGACCAAATTTACTTTGGTAACTAATCACAAACCATTAATATACATTCTAACACACCAGCGAAACCTACCAAAATAGTAAACAACAGACTCGTGAGATGGGCTTTATAAATAGGCAGCTATGATTATAAAATTTTATATAGAAATGGCGAGAATAACAGTCGCTGATTATTTATCACGAATGCCAAATTCTAAAGATGAACTTACAAGAGCTGATTTAAGACTAATAACTCAACAACATATTAATGAAGAAACCGCGATAGATAATAGCCTTAAACAAGTAATGCAATACAATAAAAAGGATGGATAAACCTAGTAAAGGAAGCAGAACTTACAGCCTTATTTACGCAAACTTGAAGAACTTGCAATAGAAAACAATTTAGTTATGTGGCAGGGCAGAATTTTGATCCCGTGCACATTGTGCCTGCCTACCTAAAAATATTTATACAGAGGCCATCCAAGTATTTCGGCAATGAGAGCTTTAGCACGATTTTATGTATGGTGGCTAGAAGAGAAGATATTGATGTTTACGTTAAAAGATGTCCAGGAAATGATCTCGTACGTTAAATGATATCTCTATATTTTCATGGTCAATTCCAGACAATGTTTAGGAGAGAATACACATTGACTTTGCAGTACCGTTTGAGGGATAGTACTGGCTAGTATTGGCGGATGCTCTATCAAAAAGCATAGAAATTGTTCCAAGGGACAAAATTACTACAGATACACTTTGCAACAAACTAGACGACATTTTGAACACCGTTGGACTACCACAAATTATATATTGGACCACAATTTACATCATCGCAGTTTTAAAATAATACAAAAGCAGTACAAACACTAATCAGCTAACATGGCTTGAACCTAAAGCACTTGACCGAAAACAACCAAATTCATCAGGAAAATCTAACGAACCTGTGACATCGATGAGAGCCTAGATTCCTAATATTACAACCACAGTAACGATAACGATACAATCAACACCTAGACCAGGAAGCCTAACAGCAGAAACAATCGAACAAAACAGGCTAACCAATGAATCGAATAAGGATAGGACGTAGTAAGCGTACTATGAAACCGCCACGAAGGTTGATTGAAGAAATGTGATTAAGGGAAGGATGTTAATAAAAGAACTCCGGAGGAATGTGAAAAATAGTCTTTATATTTACATTCTTTGTAATTAAAAAATATTCTCATGTTCGATTCTCATGTAAGACTTTGTTTGACATTCATATTTATGCTAATAAAAATGTCTTATGATTTTGTGTATTGAAAAACTAAGTAAATGGAAAAATATTTTTTAGACATAATGCCGAAATGGAAAAGGAAATGGTAAAGATGCACCGTGAAAATAGACTGAGCAAAGGCGAAAGGGACAAAAATTCAAGCGAAACTAGGCAGAAGAAAAAAGAACACTTCGCAAGATGCAACGCGTTACATCAGTCGACTACCGCAGCTGTGTCTCAGGTTGGTTAATTTCTTGAAGTATTGGTTAAATGATTTGGTCTTCTCCCATTACGATACGTCCAGGCGACTCTAATATAACTAACTACTACTAATAGCATACATACGACTAATCGCCGCGGAGTATCGCACATACATTTGTATCGGTGCTCGCACACTACGCTACCGGTATCGTACGCGTCCGCGACAGGTCGCGCGCGTCCCGCCTTTTTATGATGCATTTTGTTATTTTTCAGTAGCATAATGTACGAACGTCGAGTTGCCAACAAGTATGAATTATATTAACAGTACGTTTTTCGTAATGGGAGAGTGGCCTTTTAGATTTTGGTAGACTTAGACAGTTCTTAAGATTATACGAGTTTTCACAGTTAATCATGAGTCATAAGTCATAACGTTCAGAGTTTAATTTTCGTATATTATATTAATGAGTTCTACAGATATTAACGCAACTCATTTTATTTATAACTAGCAGAACCCGCGGCTTCGCTTGCGTTAAAAGTTAAAAAAAAAGAATTAAAAGAGTCATTTAACATATTCATCATCATCTCCCTGCACATTTCCAAATTACTTGGGATCGGCGCAGTACGTCCATTCTGCTTTTTATTTTTGGCAAAAATTAATTTTTACTAACATATTAAAAAACATTAAAATATATTTTTTAAGATTTCGCAATGTGTTTTTTATGATTTCGCTTTATTATTTGCAAAAAAAGGTTTGCGTTTCATATTATTTCTTAAACATATAATGAAAAAAAAAATATAATTTTAGTGACCGTAACTCCAAATATCCAGTATCTAAAAAGATATGACGTACCGTATGTTTTGTAAATTTATTTTTGTTTAAAGTATTGACAAGGTCTACTACCTCTATCATTTGCACATTTTTCTACTCTATCGTCCCAAAGTAATAGAGAGAGAGAGAGAGGGAGAGAGTACAATAATACAACTCGCATACAATTTTATGACTTAAAAATCATGTAACTTGACATATAAAGATTTTTAACTAAACTACGTTAGGTAATTATCACTTTGCGTGCATTCCATATTAAGAATGAGTTTCATACAGTCTTTCTGTTTTGTCGGATGCCTACATCATATATTAATTAATATGGTAATTTATTAATGGTAAACCTATTAATGTAGAAATTTTCATTAATAAAATTATAAGTAAATAAAACAATAATAATATTAAATTATAACAATATGCATAATTTCCTCAGCCGCACGGTATAAAGAGGGCTTCAAAGCAAAAAGAAGAAACAGGTGCACCCAAACAAAGATGCAGCTCACCACGACTTCATACTAAACAAAGTTGTAACGGCGTAAACGCTCCTACTACCGCTTCAAATCCAGTCAGTAAGTCTAACAATTGTTGTCTTACTATACTAAATGGAAGTGAAAATATATATAAATATAGAAGAGGAAATATAGATTTTTAACATATCTGTTGTTTTTTTGGGTACAATAATATTAGTATTCATCCATTAATGAAGTTTTTCGAAATATTTCCATTTCAAAAAAAATAAAAATTATTAAATCGTAGGTAAAGTACAAATCGGAGCAATGATTTCACACCTACATATATTCGTTTGGAATTAATATATTAATTTTGTCGTGAGATAATTAAAAAAAAATTATCTTTTATACTATAGATACGCAAATATGATTAAATATTATTTTAAAATCTAAGGTTATATAGTAATGGTCTTAAATTTTATTTTTATTCTGTATATTTATCTCAGTGCCACCACCATGGCCAGCAAGTCAAGCGACCGGTATGAATACATATATAGTGCCGCAGCCAATGTCTTTAATGAGCCCTGTGCATGTACCAGGTGAGTACATACTTATGTGAGCATATTCAATATACATATGTACGAGGATGTATCAGGCTGTCAGTGCAAAAACAACCTAATCCACATATTTTTGGTTTTTCGACTTAAGTATTACAGAGTATTCTAAATAAATAAATAAATATAAATATGTTGGGACATTAACAAAGCACCATCTAGTTCCATGGTAAGCTACGAGACTTATGATATGGATACTTGATAGTTGATACACTATACATATATAATTTTATACATAGGTATATATTATAAATGTAAACCCCCAAGACTGAGTATAAACATTCGTGCTCATCACACAAATGAATGCCCCCGCTGGACTCGAACCCGCGACCGCTGCCACTGCAAAAATAAAATATTCGCTTAAACCGTTTTAAGTTACTTTGATGCCAATTTTTATACGAAGACTTTCAAACTAAAATTCGCTTTTATTAGTAACACTAAAAATTCTGGCTCTAAAATCCGATTGTAACGTGTTAGGCCTTTCAAATCAAACAAAATAAGCCCAAACTCAAAGTACTATTAGGCGTTGAAGAGTTCCACCTATCCACCTTCTGGCCTTACCATCAGATTCCAAACCGCTGCACTATCAACGGAAATAGAAACTCTTGCAAAGTTTCAAGTCAATATGACAATTAGAAGTAGGTTGAATTCATTATTAGCTATTTTTCCACCCTTAAGGGTGGTATTTTTTTTGAAATTTAAATGGCACCAATCTGGAAGTATACACCTTCAAACAAAACAAAAAATTTCCAAATCGGTTAATAAATGACGGAATTCTGAGGTAAAAAAATCATACAGCTGAATTGAGAACCTCCTCCTTTTTAAGGAAGTCGGTTGAAAACTATAAATAAGTTTTGAAATACATAAACATTGCTATTTTTTCGAAAATAGCTGTCAGTGGGTTTAGGCTACTTTTGCGGTGACGGCTTCATATATACTAGAGTACAGTAAAATTGGAACAGAGACGAAATTATAAATTTAATACTAGTTTTTGCCCCTGGCTCCAGTCGTGTGGTTAATACGTGAATAATATAAATTAGCGTGTATGTTTGTGTATTACATTGTAGGAATTTCACTTAAATCTGTTAAGCGACTACGGCGTGAAAAAGCAAAAACAGGCGCATTTCATTCCTTTTCATAAATTGTATATTTATAGTATTAGTAAAAATATTAATTTATTTTTTATGATTTTCTAAATGTACATTCTTCTAGCTGAATTATCTGATGACGTCTTATAGTAACTTATAAGTTTACTGAAAATTCTTTTTTATTTTCAGGAGTAATCCCCGTATATTACACTCCAACAACCGACCAGTCTATATGTTCAATGGAGACCTTAAATAGCACTGCCAACAGTGCTCAGTTCCAAACATTCGCACGTGAGTATCGCTCTTATATAAGGCGATAAGACTTTTAATGTTTTAAAAAGGTGTATTCTAAATTATATAAGGGCCTCTGAGGTCGCCAAACATAAACTATGTCTCTGTGATATTAACGTGAAATGAAATACATAATAATACATATAAATTGAAAAGGCAGTGGTAGCCGAGTGGTAACGCGCTCACTTGGGAAACCGAGTGAAGCGGGTTCAAATTTAGGGTCTAGGGATCTATTTTCTCACATGATTATTACATAAAACATCGTGAGGAAATCTGCATGTCTGAGAGATCCTAGCAAGTTTTCGAAAGACGTGTGAAGTCCGCCGATCCGCACTTGGCCAGCGTCGTGGACTATGGCCTGATCCCCCTCGTATTGAAGGGGGCCGGTGCCCAGCAGTGGGACGTTAATAAAAGGACTGAATACATATGTATGTGTGTATGTTTGTAATTCACGCTAAAACGGCTGGACGAATTTGGATGAAGTTTAGACACCTAGGATCGCATCCGAGCGAAGCGACGTTAAGTACTAGTAGTAATTTTAATACATTAATGAAGACAGTGAAGTTTAACAAGGGAATTGTAATATAATTTATTTTAGATCCTGGCAGCACAATGTACAATATAAACCAAGTGTCTAATAGCACCACAAGTGGACCCAATATCACCAATACAGGAATGCCGTACCAGTCCCAAAGTCAAAGTATGTACCACATTTATTATAACACTATACTCATGCCAATTAAACTAAAAGAAAAGATAAATAAGCCTAGGAAGTAATAATTTTAATTATAATAACTAATTACAATTTAAAAAAAAACCTTTTGATGGACAACCTAATTGCTGAAATTTTCAAGTACATAATATTTTCATACTTTTAAGATTAAAATGTTTTTTTTTTAGGATTTGTTTCTGTTCTACATAAAGAGTAAACAAATCGATAAAAAAACGAAACGTAAAAAAATAGACATATAACGCCATCTATTGAAATTTATTGGAACTAACTAGTCCTTCTTAACGAGCGCAATGTTATTCTATTCCTATACATTTCCAGTGCCATGTGTGATGTTCGGACAGTCGGTCTACGGAACCCCCGTTATGTATTCATCAATTAATCCACAAATATATACGATGCAACATAATTTCCTTTCTACAAACGAGCCAAATGTGCATCAATTGCTATTACCCGATAGAAATTATGAAGAAGTAAGTGATTATTTTTCATATTTTAATTTAATATTGTGGGTGGCTTACAATAACGAACATACATATAGGCAACTAATATAGAAAAAGCTCTGAGTGAATTATATTATGATGTATGTATTTCTTGTTATTTGATATATATTTATTATTTTAATTTAGTCAGTGTATAGCCTGTCAGAGTTGTTCTTAGAACTGATATCCATGATTGCTTAACATTTGTGTATTATCACTGAACTTTAATATTTTTATGAATTCTCATCTTTACTACTTAATTTAATACTTTCTTATATTTACGCGATTATTTGACATTTTAAATAAAACTATCTTTTCGGATTATTTCGCGGATTTATTTTGATTTTTGGTTCCCGACGTTTCGAATGCTTTACAGCATCCATGGTCGCGGGAGAGACTCAGTCTCTCCCGTGACCATCGCTTCCGTAAATCCGCGAAATAATCCGAAAAGATAGTTTTATTTAAAATACTTAATTTAAACAATGATTATTTTATATCGGGTTTATATGTACATATAATAAGTAGATCGGTTGGTAATTTTGATAAATTAATGCACCTAATATGCTATGATATAAAGATATGAGTGCGTTGCGTTCTAGATATACATTAGTCTCGAATAAAATAACGGTGTTACATCAATTGAAAAGATATAATACTTTCTTAGATTTACGCGAAGATTTGAAATTTCAAATGTAAATATAAATTTTGAAATTTTGACTATCAATTGTAATAAAAAAATACTGGAATCCAAATTTTTATTATAACAGATTTTTATGTTTTTATAAAGGTGTGTCTGAACAAGCTAAGGGACCACTATATTAGCTCATAAGTTTATCATTTATTGGATACAGTTTTTTGGAAATATTTTTCGTTTTCTAAATAAATAGGTACCTAGTTTTGTTGTTTGAAAATAATTAAAACAACTGTTGCCAACACATTTACAAATTTCACATGGTTTTACATTCAACATATAACTCTTAGTCGAATACCCAACAATTAGCTAAATCAAAAAAGTTTTCAAAATTGACATGTCTTTCAAAGTTTTTCAAGGTTTGAAGAACATGGACATGGAGTCTAATTTCTGTATGTAAAAGTTGTCCAAAAAATTAAAAAAAAAATAGTGGGTGCGCAGAGAGCACGGCGGTTGTCTGTCCCAAGAGGGAGAGGGAAACTAATGGTATATTGAAATGTATAATAAGGAATGTAAAAAATCCTATTTACTTATTGTACATAAGCAAGCTGTTAAAATAACTAAGCATTAACCTTTCAAAGCACGCGGAGCCACAGGTGGCTCGGTTAACAATTAATTTCTTAGAATTTAACCGCGAGGTGTTAAAGAAAGATACATAAATGTTATAGCGTGAATTCATTTTTCAATTAATTAAATTCACATTGATTTGTTTATCACTAACTTCGCGCTACTGACATATAGCTAAATTCACCTGGAAACTACGTAAGTCTGAAAAAGCCTGAAAACTTTTAGAACAGAAACTGCCACGAGTCACGCTAACTCGTGGCAGTTTCTGTTCTAAAAGTTTTCGCGGACGATTTTCTCATATTACATCTTATGAAGATTGGTCTCCTTGTTTATATTCTTCATGGTTTGATTTACAAAAATGTTAACATACATATTAATTATTACGCTAATGAGATGGAACTTTCTCAGACAAAAATGATCGGTATCTGCTTACTGGTTTTTTTTTTCATTTAGAATTGCAAATGCATCCCATAATATAGTTGGCTCGAATGTTCACGTGCAATTTGAAACATTTTACGGAGAACAGAGTGTCAAGAAAATCACCATAAAATTCCGACAGGAAATACGCAGGAGAAAATTACCAGTAGTATCTATTAAGCGGCACCATGTACACACGTATTTTGGTTCTAGATTTGAGTGCAAACCTTTTTTCGACACGTTTTTTTTTACAATCGTTACAGTTAACAATAGATTTCTTAGAAATTTAATTAATTGCTTAGAACTTTACCTGGAGGTTGTTAATATAACAATATTATGATGAAATAATAGTAGTTTTTCGTATTATATTTTATTTATTAATTCATTCATAATCTTGATTTTAAATGTCCTCTATTTTAAAATGTTGTCAAGGAAAAAAGGTTGTTCCTATCCTCGGCATAGGAACAAATCGTTATGATGGTGAATCGTTCCAAGATACCATACAATTATCATCACATTAGTACAGCTTCCTACAGTCTTTTTTCAATAATGTAGCTAAAATAGTACCCACAAAGATAGCGCGCGAGTAGTTTTGCCGATTGTGACAATATGCCGATATGCGATAATTTCGTATTTGACTCATAGGTGTGGTACATTTTAATTTTTGGGTTGTCATCATCAATAAAATATGTGTACTATTAGTAAATATTTTATTACTTTTTTAAAAATGGAGGTGTCTAGAAATGTACTTTTTTTTTCGCTTTCATATGAATAAAATTTTATGCTGGTTAGATCTTTTCGGAATAAAAAACCAGTGCCCATATAAAAAGTGGACACATCCTTTTGTCTTAAATTTATTGTCGCGTGTGGCGACGATCTTAAGACGTACATATAACAAAGTTGACAGAGTCTCCAGCATTTTGTTTGCTTGATTATCAAAAAAAAAATCATTATTGCTCCTCACAATACTATTACTACAACTTTACTTAAAACACTTCTGTTTTATCTTCTTTATCAAATGCTATTGCAAAAGCTTAATCTTTTAAAATACAATATAAGCCAATCGTATAATGAAAATACATCGCAGGCGTGTAAAACTTTGCCAATGAGATCTGGCAAACGGCTCACATTAAATACCTGGAAACAGAAGACTATGGAATCTATGCCGAAAGTACCGGATGCGAAGAAAGCGACAAGCGACATCAGTCCTTCTTCTGTCGACGTCTCCAATAGGGTATGACATGCGATAGAATCTTTTCCATTTATATGTGCTATATATTTGTCATATTAATATTTCACTGATCACCTAATATTCCTCTTAAAATATAAAGCATATATATAAATTAAGGTCGCTCAAAAAAATGATTTTTTGAGTCTCTTACGAAAATATTTTAGTTTATCATTTTTTAAGACCGCTCTAGAGCGCAGTTAAAAAAATAAAATAAAAGGTCGCTCAAAATTTTTAAACATTTCCAATATCGTTGAAAATCTATTTTTTTGCCAAGATTTTTTTAAGTTTCCAAGTAGAGTACTGAATAATATTCATGTTCAGAAGTTTAATAGTCAAAATCTTCTCGAATTTTTTTTTGCATCTTAGAGAGATGCTTTATGTCTTTCTATTCTTTAGTTTGACTACTTCAAGAAAATAAAATAAAAAAGTCGTTAATTTTCATGTTCAGAAGTCGCTCGAAATGGTTTAAGGTACTCTACTAAGAAACTTAAAAAAATCTTAGAAAATAGTGAAATAAAGGGAAAAAAATTTAAAAAAATTTGAGCGACCTCTTCAATTTTTTTGAACTGCGCTTTAGAGGGTTCCCTAGTTTTTTTGGGCCACCCTAATATAAATGCATATTAGCAAAGCAAGCTTGATAATTTTGTTTAACGTATTTGCGCATAACTATATTTTTACTAGACATTTACAATACATACTTTCACATGACTTAAAAATACTTATTTTATCAAGTATTTTTCGTAGTTATTTTATCGAAAGCTTCATTTACAGGCTATAGTGCAAATTCATACTTTAATCTATAGGTACAAAATACATATAATAAAATAGTAACTTAGCGAAATCTGTACGTGAAATATTTTTTAAAAACAGTGACTGTTATGTATTGTGATCCCAAAAAAATACTTATATTTTTTTTTTGCTGTATGTCTTTTTGTCTGTCTGTCTTTATGCGTTTCACGCAAAAAGTACTAAACCGATTATGACTAAATTTTGTGTAGTGATAACTTATTACTCGAGCCAACATTTAGGATACCTTTTCCTACAGGAAAATTTTTCCTTCCCACAGTAAAATCACTATTATCACCTTTTCCAATATTATTTTATAAGAAGGTTTTGGGGTTAATTTATTTTTATTAAAATTTCTTTTGTTTTTCTTCTGTAGTTTTAAGTGATACATGGCGAGACCAAATAGGAATATCACTTTTAAGATTATTTTTTAATTCTACTGATGCTTCCTTACTTTGTTTTGGGCTACGTCATCTGCGTCATCCCCTTCCTTAATGTAATATTTCTCGTTGAGTCTATTAAGTTGGACGACAAACATTCATTAGTATAACATCCCGTTTGCATTCATTCCATACCTACTAATATTAAAAAATTATATTATGTTTATTCTTTAAAATTACTATTTTGTGTATTTTTCCTCGCTTGCCTGGTTCCATCTTTACGAACATACCTATAGTTTAAGTAATTTTCTCCTTACCGTTTTTTGTCGCGCTCATAATTTCGTGTATCGCTTTCGCATCTGACTAGTACGGAAATTGATTAATGCGGCTTTTAGTTCGTCCCAATCTTTGAACGGTCGCTCAGTCTTCAACCATAGTACAGCCGTCCCGGTAAGCGATCTTCATGCTATAAGTAGCTTTTGGAGCGTTAGACTCCGCATTGTCAATCCATTTTTCCATGACGTACGTCTCGTCTTGACCATTAAAATTTATTATATGTATATATTATAAATATAATAATATTTTATAATATTGAGGGATACCTCGCTTCATTAAGCTCGAGAGTAATGCTATTAGGCGATCAAGAAAGAATAGAGTCATGTTATTAGGGGACTAAATATAGAAAGGGATTTGTAATATAGGTACTATTCTTATCAATACATATAATAAAACAGAAACTTATCGAAATTTGTACATGAAATATTAAAAAAATGACTGTAACGTATTATGTACCGAATGTAGATCCCAACACAATACTTATTAAGATTTTTGTCTGTTTGTCTGTGTATAAGTGTCAGTTTTTCTGTATGTCTGATTGTGTGAGTCGTCCTTAAAAAATTATTTGGCTAAAGCTGGCTAATTCTTAAAAGATTTGTCAAAACAATGTACTACAAAATTGTGGATCTTAAAAAGCCTATAAAAAAGTCCGCAATAGGATACGTCTATCTCCTAAGGTACAATCACAATACCTATTGTTATCTATACATACATATAACAAAGGAGTAACTTAGCAAAATCGATTTGCGCGTTTCACGTAAAAAGTACTAAACCGATTTTAACTAAATTTTGTGTAGTGATAACTTATTACTCGGGTCAACATTTAGAATAACTTTTACTACGGCAAAATTTTCTTACCATTAGAAAATACAACTGGATCTAAAGAGTCGTTGTTAGAAATTTACATGTTTCATTAAACAAACTGGCTAGACCTCAAGAGATACATCAAATCAATATATTTGAAAATTGTAGGTTTTAATAAGGCCTACAGAAAAATCTGCAATAGCATATGTCTTTCTCCTAAGGTACACTCGCAATAACTATTCATATCTATTTAAAACGTACCTAGGGACGCACCCGAGCGAAGCGAGAATAAGTCACTAGTAGCAAATAAGCGGTTATTAAAATTCGTAGTCTAATAATATAGATATTATTATCGACTGGTATGTGAAATATAAAATGAATTAAATAAAACACAAATAATCCTAGTTATATTTTGTATTATATATTACAAAAACATATCATTCAACATTTTTACGTATTGAAAATACGTTATTCCATGCTTTTTTAAGGTTCTGAATGTAATAATCTTGTAACGGACACTGACATTTCGGATATCCACTCTGTCCATAGCTCACCCAATTCGAGACTATTTGAAAACGGCGCATAATTTTGAATTATACTCTTTTTGTTGAGAATACTTTTGAGACGCTAATTATGTATATATAAATATGAATTTTTGTATATTTTGACATTAATGACGTTTTTCTACGAAACTTGAGTGTAATATGCTTTCGATTGCAACTCGCTTTCTTTTATTTATAAAATAAACGTCCATGCAGCTTGTGCTTTATGCGTCAGTAAGATTATGATGACTTTTTTTAATTATATGGTAAAATATCAATGTTAAGATAGATCTTTAAGAAATATAAATCTTTCTTTAGGAACAATATACTGAAATTCTTGTCACTATAATGTGAAACGTACATAAAGATTTATAGGTTGGAAATTGGAATCGAATTAACTTAACTTTTCCATAGTTTGTATTGTATTTTATATGTTCAAATTATGATTATTTATATTCAATCCTGCTTACAACTATGAGTATAGGCATCTTTATTTTTAGCTTAATCAACAAACAGGCGAGTACAAAAACTCAATTAGTTTAAAAGGTTGTTGCATCAATTTTTTTGGTGTTTCTTTGTATGTGTTTATGTGGCTTATTGTCTTATGGTTTATACGTAAATTACTAAAGAAGTAATAATTTTTTGCCAGCAGAAAACGGAATCTGCCCCGAGCCAAGACAGTAAAAAGAGAAAATCGCATAAAAGCAATAGCAACGCCACCGCTGAAAAAACTGATGAAGAATCCAGCTATTCTTCTCTTTATTCATCTTTCTTCAAGACCGAGTCTGGTAGCACAGACGAAAGTGAATTTAAAAATAAAGATAAAGATGAACGAATGGTAAATAAATACTATCTAACTGTTGTTTTTTTTTTGAGTTAAGGATTTTTTTTTTATAATTCATTATGCTTTACTATTAAACTTCAATTTTTGTAAAAAGTTTTTAGTTTTTAAAAATGGTTGTTAAATTATTTGGAGTTTATTTTAGTATATATTAGAATGTGTATTTTACTGAATTTTGTTGTTGTCGTTATACTTGCGTTCTGCTTAATTAACTCTCCATGTATTTTATTGGACATTAATTAATGTAACCTACCACCGCTAACTGCTTTGGAGATATTGTATGGCATTAGTGGGTGCGCAAAAACCAATTCAGTCTCTATTCCTCTCCTTATCAAAATACACTGGGATGATACTTCGGTGCAATCGGAGAGATTCCTAGGTTCGGGGGTGAAATACTTCCAACATGCCAACTTCGGGCTACTAAATTTCTTAACAGAAGTATTAACTATAAATTATAATTAGCCTATCCCAGGACTAGGTCTCTAGTAGGTAGGACTAGCACTTGGTCTACATGCTAGCTACTAGACGAACGAAGAAGTTGTAAAAAATGTTCCTTTATATGGTACACTAGAGACTCACCGTCGCTTCGCTCGGGTTGGTCCCTAGCTTGCTTCCCAATACAAACTTTCATCCCCATTTTCACCCCCTTAAAGGATTATTTCCGGGATAAAAAGTATCTTATGTCCAAGACCAGGGTTTCAAACTATGTTCTTACCATTCACATAAATCGGTTCATTAGATCCAGAGATTACCCTCTACAACGTCACAAACTTTACCTCTTTATAATATTAGTATAGATATCTTGTTACATATGAAGATAAAATTAATTTTCTTAATTTCCTATAAATGTTGTAGAAAAGGCGGCGAACTTACGATACACAAACAATGCAAAATGATGCTGCAGTCAAAAATGAATCACACCCTATGAAAGTAGCCAAGAAGGAACAAGTAAGTAATGACATATAAAAACTATGCACGTCTTCTATTTTTAGTAATAACAATTATCAATAATAATTTTCGAGTTTTTCGTTATCTTTATTTCTACCAATTCTTTCTTTCAATCAATTTCGTTGTTTCTATCAATCCTTTCATGCAATTGATGCAGGCTAGAAATTCACTTTCGACGTGAAATTACGAAGAGTTTCTACAATTGTACATATGGTTTTATTGTACGTACTGTTTTTGTTATTTTGATATGTTTATTTATGTGTCAGTGTAAGGAAACAAAATGTTGATATAAAAATTAACTATATTAAAGTTTTATATTTTTTATATGAATGTAAAAACTAATTGCGAATAGGATGTAGTTAGATCCAGCGAATGATTTTCTGTAACGTTTTTAAATTTCTTTCTCTTTATATCAATCAAGGAAAATGTCTCTCCTTTTCGCTCCATTAGCGAGTTTAAAAATTAATATTATAGTAAAAGGCTCGAAATTTAGCTCTCCAGGTATTGTTCCTCCAGTTGGATCTGGACATTGGTGTATTACTCAAGACAAGCAAGCTTATGCACATATTATATAGATTAAAGTAACAAAATGTACCGCACATTGCAGGTTTGCCTAACATCAGAAATAATTTACAAGTATCAAATTGTAACCAAAACTTTGGAGGAAGTGTTGTCTCGAGATAAGGAAAAATTGCAAAACTTTGAGCAAGTGTGTATTATAATCTTATTATGTTTTTAATATTATTTTAATATAATTTACTAACAAAGTATAAAAATAGTCATACCATACTGGTAGTATAAAATAAATCCATACTTATATTATAAATGTTAAAATGTGTATGTTAGTTTGTTTGTTTGTTTGTTTGTTTGTCTGTCCTTCTTTCACGTTAAAACAGAGGGACGGATTGGCGTGATGTTTTGTGTGGAGATGTTGGAGGGCTGGAGAGTGACATAGATTATGTTTTACCGCGAAAGATTATCTCATACCGACGGGAAAACACGTTATAATGCAACTCAAATAATATTTATGATCAAAATGACTTGAAACTTGGTATTAATATTCTTCAATACAATTAAATAAATTCGTGTTTTAGGATTTTTCTAAATTCATCCTATTAGGGGTTAAAATAGGAGATGAAAGTTTATATGAAACCATTTTTTATTTTTTTTTTATTTTATCGCGAGCGAAGCCGCGGGTTCTGCTAGTATAATAATAAAATTAAGATTATTTATTAGAATGATGATACAAATTATAATCATCTGTTGATGATCAAAGTCTAGTCTATAATTGAATGTTTGTTAATTTATCAAAAAATTACTAACTTTCAGCCCACGCTGGTGAATGAACAGCTCGGTCAACTTTACCTGGACTTACAGTTAGAGGGTGTTGCAGCGAGACTTACTTTAGAAGAAGGTATCACTAGTTCTAGCAGCTCTTGTGATGAATCTTCAGCAAATTCAGCCGAGGTAGCTTAATATTTTATCTTAAACATTACTTTCTTGATTTTAAAAGGATATTTTTACCATAAAAAATAGTAGGTGGAAGACACAATTGTGGATATATCAATGAAAAACGATTAAAAAATTAAGACAAGACGTCATGAATGCATAATATCAAAGTGGATTTCAATAAATATTGTAATTGTACATTTAACGTATATAAATTAAGTAATTGATCATACGTCAGTCTGTTCCACCACTACTATATGAAGAAGTGCTAATTTTTTATTGTAAATCACAAAATGTAGGTCAATTAAGTATAATTTAAAATTGTTTAAATCAACAGCGTAAATGTGAATACAGCAAATTGACGATGATCTTCGAAGAAGATGCACCTCTACCGCCGCCAGAGACATAGTGTCTTGTGACGTCACAATCCTGTATCGTACACTGAAGTGTTCAAGCTGTCACGAACTATTTCAAATATTAAGTGCTTTCGATGTCGCCAGCGCAAGTGATTTTAGTTATATAAGTAATATGTGGACAATGGACATATACTTTATATGTATGTAATACATTTATTGTTTTAATATGTGATAATATTAATTGTTAGATATACCAAAAATTACGTTTAAGTAATTTCATTCTACACAAATTTAGTTCAATGTTTGGTTTAGCAGAGCCTAATAATAAAAAATATTTGAACGCTATTTTGTAATTTTATAGTTGTTTTTTTTTAATTCTTTACCGTCAGAATTTTTGTTTAATGGATTAGTAGGTAATGTTCTGAATATATAATGGGACCTTTTTTGGAAAGGTTCCAGTTAGAATTAGATACGTTGTTGTATCTATTTAATTCTTTTAGTAAAATATTCACGCGTCTGAATACGCATAAAGTAGGTAGTGAACGTAACAAAATTGTAATGGCGTCATATGTACCTGTAATTATTTATGAGGTGTGGTATAGTGGAAGCCATAATATTAGTTATTAAAAATATTTTTATTAGTTTGTTTAGTTACGAGAAGGGTTAAACTTCGGCAGTCCAAATTGAAATGTAAGGTACAAGTTTTACTTCAATCGAACAATCCCATCCAAAGTTAAGCAAAGCTCCTATGTTATTATAGATTTATATTAATGCTTGCAGTTTCCATGTAAAATGTGCAAATAAATATTTCTAGTGAATGTATGAATGAATCAAAAATCATGATACCCATGTTTTTATAGTGGCTAGCTCTTCTGGGATAAGCCATTTAAAGGTCTGATCGGGTTCTTTGGGTTCTTTATAGTGATAGTACAGTACATTTACTTTTTAAGAGAGATCGGCAATTTTTGAGTTTCTGTATTGCCTGGCATTTATGTAAATGGAAACTTATATTTATGGGAAATATTTTTATACATATTTTTTTATAATGCTCTCTGTATCTATATTGTGTTATACGGCATTAAAGGCAGAATTGTTTTTACTAAGAAAGTTTTCTGAAAAGTAATTTATTTTATTACATTACTTGTATTATAACTTCAAGCCAAAGTCTCTATTAAATTAGATTTTTACACAATGAACTAAGTCATGCCATTCGTCACATTAATGTATTAGGCACAATCTAGACTACTGAGCCACAGCCGTTTGCAGTGTATTTCCTGCCTTTATGTTCAATTATATTGGGAATAATTACAACATAATATGCAAATTTACATATGGGTGCATATAGAAACTTGGAAATAGCCTATGGGTTACTATGTAGTACTGTACAAGTATATTCATACTTGTGTTTACTTTTGTTTTTGTTTACTTATGTTTTTTTATGTTTTTAAAATACTTACTTTTTCTATACCTATGTATATAATATGTAGTCTATCTATTGGAATAGACTATAATAGTACCCGTAAAAAAGTACCTAGTGACGAACCCGAGCGAAACGAGGGTGAGTCGCTAGCATTATATAGTTTTTGAATTTATATAAATGATGTCCGGTTATGGAGATTATCTCTTTTTTATTGTAGTAAAGTACTGGGTTTTAGATGCAATGTATGTGCTAAGTGTGTAGGATATCGATCTATAGTAATCGTGGCTTTGCTTAAATCAAGTTTTGTCAAAGGCTTTATACTACTACGCACAAGCGTACGTCAGTTCATTTGGCATTTATATTATTATTTAGATTTAGAGTTACTTCGAACTAAGTGAAGTAATATGTATGAAATCCTCTAACGTATTAGTCTATTGTCGTTGCTGACTTATTATAAATTTTTAAAGAAGTAAATGTGTTTAAATGTTTCAATACAAATTTATTAAATAACTGTGGTCTTTGTGTATATGTGCAGCCAGCATGGCTAACTTTGAACAGCTTTTTTAATTAGAGATATTATATTTTATAATTATATTCAGATATTTATTATCTATACTCTAATGATTGTAGTTCCGTAATAATATGTTTTAGACAATTAAACATTGTATCAAAAACACGGGTAAATTTATTGATAATATTGGCTTTTGCCGTATTTAAGCCCAAATTTTTGTAACTAATATTTCATTCATAGAGTTTTATTCAAAGTTACACAGAGAATTGTTTTTACCCCAAACCGTAATACGAAAATAATTTATGTAAGCGTTCTATATACACGTACATACATAATATGTACGTAAATATTATGTACGTATATGTATAACGCATGTACATAAGTATGTACTTATGTACATACGTAATAAGTTGTACAAGATCGTATTTGGTATAAATTTTAAATACATTGTCAAAAATTGACAATATATGACGAAATATCTAAACTGTTTAAAAATAAGATGTAGCATCATCTATTTTATGATAAAAATAGAAGGTACAGGTACTTTTTAACTTAACTCGAACCCTGAAGTAACTACAGAAAACATAATAAAAAAAAATAATTAAAAAATACAAAATAACGAATCAAATGGCTCATAGAAGTTAAAAAGATGTGTTTCTTTGTAATTAGATATAAGTAACTAATTTTAAAGTAATTATTAAAATGTGTAATTGTTGGATAATGTATTTTAGCTTTAATGATTTACGAATATTAAATAATTTATACATGTAGTATGCCATAGGCATCGATTATTCGTAACTTTTTCAATTTACACGAAACGTGTTTTCAACAGTCAACAAATAAATGACTTTATATAAGTTGTAGTTTTAATTTCATTCCTTCATAGATTATATAATTATAGCTCAAGGTCCTAAATACATACTAATAAAATAATGGGTATTTTATATATATCTAAGACAAAATTAAAGATTTAAGGCACAGTAAGAAGAAAGTAGACAAAGATGAGTTGACCATACATTTGAATAAAATTATCTTAAAATTAATTAATTATCTTAATATTTATAATTATTACGAGTTTATTATTAAATGAAAATTTACGAATTATTTAAATAGCTAAACATACGTAGGTATATTGCTTATAATGTAACTATCGTGACGTCGATGTAATGTATCTAAGATCGGATACCTACCCTATGAAATAATAGAAAAAGTTAAAAGTAAAAAAGTGAAAAAGGAATCTCCATATTATGCCTATGCGAGCTGTGTATATGTATGTATTTATGTGCTAAACGTCTTAACCGATTTTAATTATTTATACCTCTTTTGATTGGTCTTTATAACGCAAGTATAATAGGCTATATAATATTAAAAATCAAAAAGGCGGATTTTAGGAACCTTTAGTGTCTTGAAAAAAGATTTTTCTTCTTAACCTGTCGAGAAGGATATCAAAAAAAGGTTTTTGAGAGATGGTCAAAAATAAATACAACTTGAATGTTTAAACGTAATTTGGGATAAGTGATTGTTAAGTACAACTCCAAAGGTCTACTGACTCTAAAAAATCTTATTGTATTTTTTCTCAGAAATGAGATACTTCCCCGCGGTAAAAAGTCTCCTATATGATCCGGATAACCAGCTATCATTATACCTAATTTCATCAAAATCTATCCAGTGGTTCCCGTGATACGGTAACAGACATACAGACAAAAATTCTAAAAACGATAGAATCTGCTTCTGTATCGATAATAGAGTCTATTTCAATGAGATTTTCCAAAAAATATTAACGTACAGATTTGGCTTAGTTACAATTTATTTATATGTCTAGATATTCAAATTGATGATATATGTTGCGGACGACGAGTCTACGCGACAGCAGATTCTAATCTTTGTCAACTTGTTCTCCTCTTTTTAGTTCACTTTTTATGCATTCGGGATTTTTTTTATTTTTGTAAATTTTATTTTCTGGAGTGGTAGTGTGTAATGTCCATCTATCTAGTTTTGGTAAACAAGTACCTACTTGTCCACATCTCAAAATTATTTGTGTCTTTTCATTTTAAAAAAAGAGTTTATGGCGTCAATAAATCAATTTATGGAACCAAAACATACTTTTAAATTATTTATTGATCAACTATCTCAGTATAATATTTTGTTACGAGTAGGTAGGTATATTAAAATGATGCATATTCTTTTAATTAAAAAGTATACTTTACCATAGATTATTTATGCATACATTGAGTCTATAATTATATGGTCTTCTTAATGGCTATTTTAAGATTTCTATCCATAATAAAAAAAGTATTAATATTCAGCGAAATCATCAATGATTTTTCATCGAAAAAAGCTCTCAAGGTTCCATTCGTTAACGCTCTAATTTAATTTCGAATAATTCTTGTATTTGATTATATCTACATATTATAAAAACTTAAAACACTTGATTAAAAAAAGTCCCTAAATCCGGCCCTGGCAGCAAGGTTAAAACATGTATGCATGTCTCCGACAACGTCGTTAATCCCGTCCTTTTAGTCATTTAGTCATTCGGGTGTTTTTTATTTTATAATTTAACTTTTAACTATTAAAAAGATTTGTTAAGTAAAATTACGATTAATGTATGCGTTCTTGTATATGTATGGTACAATCATTAGACGACGGATTTCACCTGAATTGAGTGGAAATTGGGATAGTTGGAGAAAGAACGGTAGGTAAAAACAACAGATACAACAAGGTAGTAGTTAGATTTATTGGTTTTATTTACACCTGGGCTAACTATTAACAAATCACGTAATACAAACATTAAGTCATTGAGTCATACTTATTGCGTATTTAGTAAAAAAAGAATAATTAAAATCGGCTCACATTCGCCGAAGATCATTAACGTATACAAAAAATAGAGCCGAAGTTGGCTTAGACTAAGGCTCACCTCTAAAATGCATGAATATATTCGGTATGGACAGATTTTACTTCACCAGAAGTTTATTTATTTAGAATTAGAAAGCTTAATTATTTTGATTGCCTACTTAAGTACTACTTAATTAAAATAAACCTACTAACATAGTTTACTAGAGTAGTGACTTACTTACAACACATTATATTATGGATATTCTGTGTTATAGATGATTATCATT